GGCAGCGGGGAGCAGCAACCCTCGCCCGAGTCCGCGAGACAGACACATCATTCGATTCCTAACACACCATCGGATTTTTTGACCATGTCTTCGGACGAAAGCGACTCCCCTCCTCGCTCCACCGCACTCCGCGCGCCCACCCCTATCGCCCCTCCCGCGCATGATGGTGACAGTGACACAAACGGCAGTGCCACGCCTGAGCCATTGGTGCAATCACCTACACCCGCTCAAATGGTGCTGCCAGATCCATCGGATACACAGCAAACCCATTCCGATCCCTCTCCGCCCTCGGCTTCACCCCCTGCCACTGCCATTTTGCCCGCTGCCATTTCACATCCTGTCGAACACAGTGAGCATGCAAACTCAGCCCCACTTGGCGAAGTCAGTGAGAGTGAAACACACGATGCAGCGGGCGAACACAGTGAGGGTGAGCAAGATGTTCTTCTCAGCGATCCTGCTCCGCCCATCGCTGCCAACGTGCTGGATGCCCAGCGCAAGGTCCTGCTGAAGACATCTGGCCACAGGCAACTCCTCGCCTGCCCATTTGGGCTTTGCAAATGCAAGGGGCCCCGCCTTGACCGCAAAGCCTGGGTCAATCATGTACTACGCGAGCACCCCTACGACGAGCAAGCCACTGATCTGGTCAAGCAGGTGATGGAGGCCAAATTGGTCGCCCAGTGCAACAAGTGTCACCTCTTCTTCGAAGCTGCTGGTATCAGTCAACACCGCTCCCGATGTGGTGCCAATCTGAAGCGAGCGAGCGAGGCGTTGTTTCATGCGGCTGGACACGACCTGCTTGAGATTATGCGTGGCGCTTGGCCCCAACAGTGTGTAGGGTCTCGCGTCAGCGTCTGCGAGCTGCTTAAGCTCGCCCGGCATCCACTGATGCAGCGCAGCCGCTACCCATCCAACGCCACCGAGACCAAGCTGATGGCTGCCACCCTGAGCCAGCTGTATTGGTCTGCCGTCCATTCAGACTATACCGCTGAAGAGCGAGAGATGTGCTGGGCTTTGATTTTGGCCTTGCCTAGCATGTTGTTGTCTGCTCCCTCGACCGCACTGTCTACGATTGACCTGCGCAATATGTTTCACGATCGTCTCCGTTGGCTTGTGA